GAATAGCAATTTTAGGTAACTATCTGAAAAAGGGGATGCAAACTCGTCTGAATAGGTTCATTTTATTTTAATTTATGGTTATTTATATTTTTAATTTATGATAGAAGCAGAATAAACATTTTATATCTCTCCTATTGGCAATCCTATAGCCTAGCCAATAGTAAATTATAAAAAGGACTTCTTAGATTTATTGCTAGATGTAATACTTAATTGATCAATTAGAAATTAATATTAAACATATTAAGAGAGGAATAAAGGAAGTAGGAAAAGCATTAAGAAAGAATGTTATCTTTGCAGCTGATATTAGCCCAGTAGATGTATTACTTATTTACCAATTTAATGCGAAGAATTAGGTATACCCTACATTTATGTGAGAAGTAGATTAGAATTAGGTAATTTTATATATATTTATCTATTTAGGAGCTGCTGCATAAACTAATTCCTATCATTTAATAGATTATGTTCTCTAAATTTCACTTAGTTCTTTCTCATTTTAAAATATTAGCATACATTTTAAAAGCTTTCCAGATTATTCTAAGATTTAGCAAGATCTTGATTATTATAACAATCATATTATTTCTCAAGTTAATAAAGGCAAATACTTCAATTTATTTAATAATAAAATAAAATTCATTTACTATCAATTGATTAATGTTAAACTCTAACTTAAACTCCTGTGATCAACTCAAAGAAACAACTAAATCAAATAATCTTAAATAACAAGATTTCTTTCTTAAAGAAAATGCAAATCAATAGTAAATATAGACTATAAAATAAAAGGAGAAAATTAAAAATTAATTTAATCAAGGATATAAATAAACAAATACAAAATAAATTAAGATAAGATTAATATTAATATTAAACAAAAATAAAGCCTAAAATAAATATATTAATCTATCATAATACCTAGAAAGTTATTATTAAAGTTAGATTTCATTTAGTATGTTATTTTTTGATCTTCATTAATTTTACATATTTGGCTAGTGAATCATTATTTTAATATTTTCTTGGGTAATATAAATAGTTTGAAATCTAAATTATTGATGATAAAGATAAGGGAGTTGTTAAACAGATTATGTTATTCAATTAGATAAACTCAAATCCAATACTGTTTTAATCAAAGAGTAGAATATAACTGATGAGTCTTTTTATTCTCATTCTAAGATACAAGCCAATCTTAAAGAAATACATAAATTTTCTTCAAAGATATCTTATTATCATGGCCCTTCTGATGATTTCACTAGAATAAATCATGAATCTAATATAATGACTGAGGACAAATTTATGATTTTTTTCGACAGTTTGGGTTGTTGGCTAAAAAGATTCATCATATGCACACATAATCTAAAACAAATGATTTTATCTAAAAGNTCAGACAATAACAGTAAATTTGGAGAAATTAGTTTAATCAAAGAGTAGAATTAAACTGATGAGTCTTTTTATTCTAATTCTAAGATACAAGCCAATCTTAAAGAAATATATAAATTTTATTCAAAGATATCTTATGGTCGTGGCCCTTCTGATGATTTCACTAGAATAAATCATGAATCTAATATAATGACTGAGGGCAAATTTATGATTTTTTGTCGACAGTTTGGGTTGATGGCTAAAAAGATTCCTCATATGCACACATAATCTAAAACAAATGATATGAGCAAAAATGTTATCTTAACACAAAATTCAAATACTCTAATTCAGAGCATTTTGAATAGTAATTAAAATGAAAATGTTAAGTACTTGTCATTTAAAGAACTAGTATTTAATTTTAATAATTTATTAGAATAATTTATTTAGAAAAGTTAACAAAAACTAAAATGAAGTAACTTATGTAAATTTTTTGCTATTATTATAAGAAATTTCTAAATTAATATTTTTTAAGGAACCAAAAAGAGCTGAAACTTTGTTATACAAATTGATGGAAATAGATGGTACAGAATTTCGAAAAAAATTAAAATCACTTTATATTCCATTTAATTCAAAAGATTAACCTGGTTTTCGTAAACCTAAAGGCCTTATTTAATTAAAATGTGGCAATCATTCAACTGATTAACTCAAATCAAAAAGATTATTGATTGACGAATGGAAAAATGGTAAAAAGGAATAATTAAGAAACAAATTGATAAGCTAAGCAAATTAATCTAGATCTAAATCGATTATCTATGAACCATTATATGTAAAAACAAGTAGCTATAAAGAAAGAAAATTAAGAAAAATTGGATTAGATTCACAATCACATTAAATATTAAATTTGGAAAAGTTAGATTAGTTAGATCCAAAACTTTTTTTACTAGAAAATTTTAAGCCTTTTGATTTAATTTAAGAAGATGAAGATAGTGAAGATAAATATTACCTTAAAAGTTATGATCTATCTAGATCTGAAAAAAAAAGTGAAATTAAGTAAAATTTTGTTGTAATTAAGACCATTATCAAATGAAAAAAAGATTCCAGTTTAAAAAATGAAAACTGAATCCATAAATAAAAGAACTCAGATTTTATCTAAAATTGATAGTAGAATTGAAGAATACTAGGCTTATTTTAAATTGCCCAGATTATAGAATAAATGATATTAATAATTTCATTTATAGTTTTCCAAATATTATTTATAAAATGAGAATTTATGTTAATTAGTTTTGGTTCTTATATTTAATTATTGATTATTAAGCATCAAATAATATTATTTATTCAAATATATTTTCATTCCATAATTTAGGGATCTTCACTCTTTTATTTTTTTATAAGAAAAATCATATTTCTTAGCAACTGATAATATATCTTCATTAAAAATTTATACAAATCCATTAAATAGAATCTCTAATTTAGATGATATATTAAATGAAAATAGAATTACAACAATTTCTTTCATTACCAATTTGTTGTCTATGAAAGATTCATATTTAAATCATTTTCACCCAATTTTGGCATAAAATTTGTTTCTAAAAAAATAAAATATCCCTTTCTTCCAATCTGAATATTAATTATCAATTCAAAAATCTTATTAATCAAACTGATTAAAAGTAAATTCTATAAATATTTTTAATTATTCTTACATCACTGTAAATTATCATTAGTAAAAAATAGAAAGAAAAAAATTTTTGATTTAATTTTGAAGAAGTTTGAATACTAATTGTAGATTTTTAAGGAGATTGATTATTCAAAGAAGATGCTTGCTATGTTTATTTATAAGTTTCTTTTATAAATTAATTATATTAAACAAAATATATAAATATTTTAATAATATTAAATATTATTTTTTTTAAACTTACAAATATGTCTTATAAAGATTTATCATAATTTTTTTTAAATGATCAATCCTAATTATTTACTAAGATATCTTTTAGGAGAAACAAGTAATAAAGCAGTTAAGCATGTGTCAATCGAATCTTTTTGCATCTTAAGCAAATATTTGCCTAATAAAAAAATAATTATCAGTCCAAATAAGCCAACACTTAATGTGAATATGAGTAACAATCTTTTGTATAAATCTAAAAGTTAATTAAATAAGTCTTTTTGAATGCTTATAAGTTTTTAATAAGCTTTAATCAATATTTCACTTCCATAATCAATATAAAGAATATGTTACTAATTATTGTAAAAATCAATTAAGGTTTATTTATTATTAGCAACAGCATGAGTATCGAAAAATTAGGGATACTGAGCTATTATTGTACTTATTTAGGTTAAAAGAGATTTCATTCCTTATTCATAGTGAGGAATCATTTCAGGATTTAATTAGATAGCATCAGTTAATGAACAATCAATTCCTATTTCCTATTTGCAAATGTTTTCTTCATTTAAAAAATTAAAGTTATTTTATAATGATTAATCAACAAAAGTTGAAAGCAATTAGTTTTTATATTTTTCAAAAAAAATATCAGTTGTATTATCACTAAGAACTGCAGAGTACATTTAAAATTAAGAGATATTCATGATATTTTAGTAAGTATTGCTTTATAAGGTTGAATGAGCTATTAAATCAACATTATTAATTAAGTTGATAATTGAGGACTGGGCTAATTTGGATTAAAATATAGCATCAATATTGAAAATAATGTCTTATGATAGAATAAAAATAATAAGAAAGACAATAAGGAAATATGCTAGAATTACAAGTAATCCAACCATTAATATTGCGATATATTTATTTTGATTCATTTTTGATTTTTTCAATTTTTCCATTAATTTATTTTTACTTTTTTTATTTGAATTAGAAACCATTCCGGTATCAGAATTATTTACCTTTTATATTCCTAAATTATGAGTGACAGACCTCCGATGCTAATTTATTTCAAACATTTATGTTTCCTATACAAAATCAATTAACATCCATTCATAAATTGATTTTTTTAATATATTGACTACAGCATTGTAAATTTCAATTTCATCGTTGACTTCATGAGGTTCTAGTTTAATAATTTCCTTATAAAGAGTTCTATGATTTCTCTGTTACAAAGAATGTAACAACCATATATATTATTAAAATAGTTGAATATGTTTTTGATCATTAAGATTTTCTTAAATGCATGAATCGTATGCTTTTTAAGGGAGTTATCCAACTGCTTTGATATTAGCAACTAATACAAATGTAAGAGAGAAATCGACTATGAATGAATCATTGCTGTTATTATGATTGAGTTTATAATATTATTCAAGACTTAATTAAATTACTTCTTATAATGATGTAATTTTTTGAATTTTGTTTTCAACATCATAAAATTATTCAAAATTTTAGGCTGCTTAATTGATTTCTATAGCATATTAGTTTTACATGTTGATTAGATCATGAAGTTAACCAAAAGATTAATTATTGTAAAATTATTTCAAATACCCATGCCTTGAATTTATAATTGATTTGAAATTTCAATTCGATATAAACTATGTGTAATTTATGCAAATGAAGTTAATGGTGATCATTAATTCAATTAAATCAAGACAATTATTGAAATCAAATTATCCTTAAGTTGATATTGAAATAAGTATAATGTAACAAACTATCAAAATATAAGTGTCTGAAAATAAATATTTTTATAATCTATATGAATATGGATTGTTTATCAAATTAAGTTATTATTAAAATAAATTATATTAAGTTTCAAACAATTTTAGATTTTGAGTTTATTTAATTTAATATTCTTCAAAAATTTATTATTAGGAATACTTACTTTCATAAGGTAGTTTAGATTCATTTTCATTATAAAATTCTTATTATTTTTTTGAACATAGTATTGGAGATGCTTAATTTAAAAATTCAAAATTTAATATTACAGATAAAGAATTAGCTTAAAGTGTTTTATTAAATAGTTAAATGATTATATTGAAGCTTAACTTTTCCTATTTATGTCTTTGCTATTTTTGTTACTATTTTCTAAAAAAGTTTTATTCTATTTATATCTTACTTAATAAAAATAGATCACCCTTATCGTCTTACTTTGGACTGTAAATTTAATCAGTAATTAAAACCTCTTTGTTATCTAATTGATAGGCATCATCAATAAAATATGAAGGATGAGAAGGAAATTGATAGTTTATAATTTCTTAATCTTGAAAACTCTTTTACTCACTAAAATTAACTTACATACTTATTGAATCTTCTTCATCAGTTTATTATTCTAAAAGTTATTATTTTATTGATAACTTTAATAAATTTACTAAATTGTATCTCTCAATTATCTCCTATAACCTATTTCTGTAATTAGTAATTATTATTCATTAACTACTAATTCAACAATAAATATTTATTATTTCTAAACAACTTTATCATTTTTTTTCCTATATCGAAATTCTTCATAACTAACTAAATACATAACTGGTACAGGATGAAAATTTTTCAATATATTTTGAATATCTATCTTGATAGATTCTTTCTGTACTTGTTTTTAATTACTCACTATCTTTTTAGCTATCATCAGATGATTATTTTTCTTATATTAATAATGGAGAGGATGGTTTAGCTTAATTTTTTATCATTTCAGATTATTTTGTTTAAGCTATTTTAAGTGTTTAATGTCTTTTTAAATGTTCATCATTAAAAAAAATACACATAATCTCTCATTGAATATTGTAACAGCATTAAATTGATCAATTTCTTGATAATCATTATTTTTTTAAGATTTATATGCACATCCAGATGAAAAATTATTTGATTAAACTCTTACTTCATCAACTATTTTTTAATTATTTTTTCGTATTATTAAATAAATAAATTAATATCTTCAGGAATAAATAAATATGTTACTTTATTTTAAACTAAAAGATTACTATTATCTAAATCAATCAGATTTTAATAACGATTTTTGGAGTTACTTATCTATTCATCAAAAACTCTATTCCAGTTGATTCTATTTCTCTAGAAAGAAATGGTAAAATCATCCAAATTGAAACTTTACTATAAAATTCATCAATTGATAATATAACATTTGACCATTTTTAATCAAATACATTATAACTAATCATATAAATTAAATTACCTCTCAGATTCTTAAGAAGAATTATCAGACCTTGATATTTTATTACTTTATTTAAACTCATCTGCTTCATGATATGTCCCTCTATTAACTACTAATCTCTACATTTTTTCAATCATCATATATAGACCTCTAGTTATTCTCATAATATTTCCATTTACATCAAATAATATATGTTAATACCCTTTAAATGCCACATTTTTCAATCGTTTACCATCTTCACCAATAAACTTCGGTTATTCTTCTTCTAAAGATTTTAAGCATCCAATCATTATAAAATCATCTTCTAGTTCTTAACTAAAATTATAAGCTTAATAGACTTGACATTTTATTAGTGTTTTATCATAAAGTTTAGCAAATGTCTAAAAATACTTACCAATTCTTGCTGTTACTCCTCTTCTAATATAATTTTACATCATTTCATCATGAACTGGCTCTAACCAAGCAGGCAATAATGAATTAATATTTCCTTTAGTATAATCTATAAATGAATTTAATGGATGCTAGAAATGACCAAATCCAAAAAATTTTAGAATATTGCTATACAAACTTTTAAAGAAATGGCTTCTCTCTTAAAAAAATTGATGTTTATTATTTCAAATGTATTCTTCAAACGATAAGATTTCCTTACACTCTATTAAATAATATTAAATTTCATTATTTACCTTTTTCCATTTCAAAATACTTTCTTAAATTATTAAATAAAAGTAGATTTTTCAAAGCATTAAACTTTAAAAATTAAACATTGTAGGCTCTACCATTATGATAAAAATTGGTTAATATACGTCGAACTAAAGAATCACTGCATCTCGCAATTTCTATAATTTTCTAATTGCTTATTCGATCTCAGAATATTCTGTAAATTTGCCCTCTTTAAATGATTTCCAAAGTTATTACTTAAATTAACTTATTGAGAATAATAATGGCATGCTCTTATTCATATTGTAATCCTCATCTTTTCTTAATCAATTCTACTATATTTATTGTAATACAAGACACATTTATACAAAATAAAATGAGTAATCTTTTTTTTTTAAAATAAAATCTTTAATCTTAATAACTTTTTGGAGCATTATGCTTGTATTTATTGATGAATTTCAGAAATTTAAGCCTGAAGATTTCAAACTTCAAAAATTTTATTAATTGTGCTTGTATTTTTCAAAAATTCTTTTAAATAAACATGAGATCATCAAAACTACTTGGTTAAACTATAAAATATTTTAAGCTCCTATCTTTCTACATTAACATTTTGTTGAATTACATCTATTCATATGCAAAGCTAATTTTTAAATAAATTCAATTTCTTTTTATTTATTTTTTTAAGCCAATTAGCTTAATTCAAAAAAATCTTCTATATATAGTAAATCATAATATTAATTTCTAGTGATATTGCTAGATATATAGACATTTGATCTCTTACTCTCAAAAAGAATTTAAAACAAATATTAGACAATAGGTTGCATTATCAACATAATTGTGGCTAAACTATAAGGACTTGCAGTATTAAAAGCTTTAATTGATGAGAATGTAAAAATTACAGAATGTGTCATCAAAGCTCGGTTTAATGTAAAACCTGATGAAGAGAATCTACGGATTAATTTAATTTTTACCCTAATGGCAGTGAAAAATAGGCATCATAGATCTAGATGATTAAAATTAAGCCATGCAAAGTCCTACTGATAAGTTGAGTGGTTTCATCATTATTTAAGTATAATAGAGCCATAGGTACCATTAACAATTAAGCGATTAAGTCACTATATGAAAAATGCTTTCTTAAATGTTGTTCATTAAATTCAAAATTAACAAAATAGACATTTGAAATGATTAGACTTAATATTGTGAATATTAGCACTACTGAAGCTAGAATTACTGGAGAAACACTTGAATAGATATAATTCCAACCAATGTAGTAAAGTTAAGGTAAATATAGAAACCATGGAAAATAAAGAAAATAATAATTGACAATCTTTGTTGAGACCTTTGATATTTATAATATATTTTTACTTGTAAAATACTTTTAGAAATGTTATGATTTCTGTTAGTAATTTTTCTGTATATTATGATGATGTAAGGTACAATATTAAAGAAAATAATTGTTGCTCCAATAAGTATGTTTATAGAGTATGAGTCTATAAATAAAGGGGTGATTAAACTAATTCTTGATAAAGTATTAATCAAACGATAGACATATTCTTGATTCTCACTGACTAAAAAGTAGGTTAATTGGAGGTAATAAAAAGTAATTTGAAAACTAGTAAAATACTAATTATTGAGAGATGGTGATAAGTTTGTTTAGATAATTAAACAAATTAAGTCCCCGAAAATTTTCTAATTCATTTTTATTGATATTATTTTATATCAAAAATTGTTTCATTTGATTTTAGTTTATATCAATTAAAAATTTTGATAAATAGAGCTAAATCTAAGAATTTTAGTATGCTTTTTATATATTAATTTGATGTTATCAATAATTAATTATAATTTAGAATTGTTCTATTTTTGTGTTCAGTTCCAAAATTTATAAAAATATGAAATTTAATAATAAAATATAAAACACTTATAGACTATGATGGATGACAATGTTGTGCCTTCAAGCATAATCAAATTACTATATGATAAAAGTTAGGATAAGAAACAATAAGGATGTTAATAATTAAGATTATTAGTTCAATCTTATGCAATAAATGGAAAAGAATTGTTAATTAAATAAATAATAGAAACTTTAAAAATAAAATTTACAACTTCATCTTAATTGTACTTAAAAAGATAGGGAATGTATGCAATATAAACGGTGGCAGAAATATTAGTGAAAGAAGTAATTGGAATATTGATAAATAGTATCCATAATTAGCTGAGAGATGCGTTAAAGATTTAACATCACCAATTTTAGAATGTTTAAATGATAAAGAAGATAAGGCTAGATAATATGCAGTTGAATGCTTACTACAATTAACAAAGATAATGAGAACAATGATACTTTTGAATTTTAATGAGATATTTGATTATTAATTAGGTAGATCAGCAGAATAAGATAGTTAAATTGTTTAAGCAATGCTTTTGTTGGATGCTCAACTAAAAACTCAAGTATAAATAGCTGTTTAGGAGAAACTTAATGACCCTGGAAAACAATGCTATTTTAACTTAAACTCTTTTATGATTTAGTTATAAAGTAAATTGAAGACAAGAGTAACTTATGTTAGATAATTTCTACTTGGATGGATTAAAGTTTTAAATCAATGTCATAATAATGATTTATACATTTATTTTCCAATGATTTTAGAAGGTATATTTATGATGTTAGGAGAATCAAACAAGTAAAATAAAACAATAAAATTAGGGAAGATCATAGTGGTGCTGATGTTTCAATATTTTGAAATAATGATCGACAAAATACTGATGATGCTACATAAAAATCAAGATTAATAAGAAAAGAAAGGGGATATAATATTTAAGAAATTTGTTCACTTCTTAATCCATAATAAGTTTATTTCACAATAACGGCAAAATTATTGGAAGTATACTCAGATAATGATGTGTTATTTATTAGGAATACTGTTTAAGCTTTAACTAATTTATTAATTTCAGAAAAAGAATTATAAAATCTTAGAAATGTACTTAGAAATCTAAAACATGAAAAAGATGAAAAATAAAGGTAGCATAATTAAGAAATATTTGAGACTCTTTATAGAACATTCTGTTATAATTCAATGAGTGTAATCACTCTATGTTGATTATCTGAAGAATATGAATTGGCTTATACTATTATTGTTAGTTTTTCAGAAGTGGAAGTCAATTAATATATTTTATTAGAAATAGCTCAATTAATTAATGCTCTAGAAACACCAGTATTCCTTTGTGATATCAATAATATTTAAGTTTTAAGGTTACAATTATTAGAGTATGATTCTCATCCTTTTTTAATGAAGTGTTTGTTTGGATTGAGGATGCTTTTGCCTTAAGGACCAGCCTTTAATACTCTAAGACATAGACTAAAGAATGTTTCTAATGCACAAATCTAATCATTATAGTAGGAAAAAAAAATGGAAACAGAAGAGTTTTTGGATATTTAAAAATTACTCACATAATTTAGAGATATTCGCCTCTAATGTACTAATTAGAAATAAAAATAAAAGGATTAATATTTTTAAATATCATTCATTAAATAATTATATAATCTATTTACTTAATTCGCTTAAAGTCGAATATTTATTTAAATATCCTCCAAAATGATCACATGAAAAAACTACTTTCTCATTTTCCAAGTTCTCTTAATTAATTTCAATTTATCTTGAATATCTTTGAGAATAAT